TTTGCTAATCAGTTCTAAAATGACAGCTAATCCAGGACTTCAGGTGCCTCCTGAAGAAGTAGTTAAATGGGACAGCTGCAACTTCAACTGTTACAGAAGAAACCTTTGGCCTGAAGCACTTCTAAAAATTGGGGGAAGGGGGTAACAATGACACTGATATGTCATAGTATGAATCTCCTTAATAATCATTTATCAAAGTGGACAGTGGACAGCTCACAGCAGGGGGTATGATTTTTTTGCAGTTGGGGGAAATGGTCATCTCTGGGTGCCCATTGATGTTCTTGGAGCCCATATTATAGCGGTGTATTACAATGCATTGTCTGTGTGAACAAATAGGAACACACATACTGGACGAGGGACACACTTCTGGGTAGCAGTGTGTGTGAACAAGATATTGGGGTACGGGTGGACCGTAAGTTAAATATGAGCAGCCAGTGCGATGTGGCGACAAAAAAGGCTAATGGTGTATCAACAGAGGAATAACATCCAAATTGCAAGATGTCATAGTCCTGCTGTTCACTGCATTGGTCACCTGGAGTATTGTGGGCAGTTCTGGAGGCCTACTCCAAAAAGGATGTGGACCGAATGGAGAGTGACAAGGACGATTGGTGTCCTGGAGACCAAGCCCTCTGAGGAAAGGCTGAGGGACCTGGGGATGTTCAGTCTGGAGAAGAGGAAGTTGAGAGGGGACATGATCACTCTCTTTAAGTATCTGAAGGGCTGTCACTTAGAGGGCAGGGAGCTGTTTCTGTTGGCAGCAGAGGATAGGACTCACAATCACGGGTTTAAATTAAGGGCGGGAAGGTACCAGCTGGATATTAGGAAAAGTTTTTTTCATTAAGAGTTGTGCCACAGTGGAATCAGCTGCCTAGGGAGATGGTGAGCTCCCCCTCACTGGCAGTCTTTAAGCAGCGGCTGGAGAAACACTTGCCAAGGATGCTCTAGGCTGATCCTGCACTGAGCAGGGGGTTGGACTAGATGGCCTGTATGGCCCCTTCCAACTCTGTGATTCTATGACTCCATGAAATGATGAGTCACAGTGTTGTCTTTATGGACTGGCAGCAGAATCTTTCCCACTTGTGCTGTCAGCTGAGATATTTAAGAGAAGGCAGGGACTGGACATGGGACCTTCTGTATGCAAAGCATGTGCTCTAGTACTGAGCTATGGGCCCTTCCCAGCTGCAGGAGTGTCCTGCAGTTGTCATTAGGGTACAGTTGATTTTTTCCTGTTTTGTTGTTATCTTTAGCTCAAGCTGTGTTCACGATATGTTTTTAATTCTCTTATCACACCCAAAATTTGATAATAACAGGCTTAGAGGTTAGCAATTGCAAATCATGTTTTACTTGTGATGAGGGAATGCATAATATTTGCACCTTGCCAGAGGATGGGTTGTGATATATTCTGCAAAACTGTAAGCATTTTTATAGTAGACATTTTTAGCTTGTGAGGTCTCTACGAAGATCACACTGGTGGGATTGTGGCTTTTAAGATACTCTGCTGTTCCCATTCTGTGGAAGTGTGAAAGAAGTCTTGGTGGTGGTGGTGGTGGTGGAAAGTGCCGGCAAGTCACAGCTGACTTACAGTGACCCCTGGTGGCGTTTTCAAAGCAAGACACTCTCAGAGGTGATTTGCCATTGCTTGCCTCTGCGTCACAATCCTGGTATTCCTTGGAGGTCTCCCATCCAAATACTAACCAGGGCTGACCCTGCTTAGCTTCCAAGATCTGAAAAGATTGGGCTAGCATGGGCTATCCAGATCAGGGTAAAACAAGTCTTAACTTATGGAGTAATTGAATGCACATTAGTACAGCTCATCCTCATTTGCCAGGATAAAAACTGCCAGGACTGGTTGGTCATGATCTGTAGACTGGCATGAATCAAAGAGTTTTTGAAACAGGTATGTTGACCCTGGAAAACTAGATAAGACAAGTGGGGGGGGGAGGCCCCATGAGGCTATTTCACAGTTGACGATGATGTGGAGAAGGTGGACTTGCTTTACAAAATGCATATCCTCTGAGGCTAACCCTGATTATTTTAACCTCTTGGGGTGGGGAGATGGGAGGGAGAAGGAGGGCAGGGAGGGAGGATTTTCCTTCTTATGTTCTACCCATTCTTGCTGACTCTGGGAATAGACGTGAGGGAAGCTCCTGGCATAAGCATATGGCCTGCAATAGGCTTTCCTGGATTTGGCTCTATGGAGGTCAATCTAGAAGCAGTAGCTGCTGTAGTGTAACAGAGGAGCTGTGGCAGGTCTCTTCTGAAGGGGAAGAGTTGGGCTCAGAGGTTGCATGCCTCAGTGGGTGTGTTCTCCGAGGCTAATCTCTCCCCCCCGCCCTTGCACAGGATTCTGTTACCAGCAACAGGCTTTGCCAATAAAAGGATCCTGATTTGAATAACTTACTTGCAGTTTAAAGGATCCTTTGAAGGGTGGTGGGGAATTTGGACTTGAAGCGTGCATGTTTGTGAGACCAAAGGAAAACAAGTGTGCACTTTTTGTTGTTGCATATATGCCTGGCTCTTGGCATACAGTGTTTTCATTAAAATATTTGTACCCTGCATTTTTTCTTGGCTAAAGGAAGCTTACAAGGAATAATTTAAACATTACAGCTTGAAATAAAATAAAAACTTCACATACCCTACCACCCGGATGGCTGCTGTTCATACCCCATCAAAAGCCCTGGCAAACCGGCAAGACTTGCAGTGCTTTTAGAGGATCTCCAGTGGGTGGCCCATCCCACAGACTGGGAATCCCAATGGAAAAGGCCCAGGCTGTGGCTGATGCCAGGTGGGCCGCCCTAAGTGGGGAAATAGGCAGCAGGCGGCAGCCTGAAGACTGTAGCTGGCACTGTGGGAACACATAGGAGGAGAAGGTCCTTCAAGTTTGTGGGCCTCAGGCCATAAAGGACTTGAAGTTCATAACCTGTCTGTTGAATGGAACTCTGCAACAAAATGGCAGCCAACATAGCTGGCAAAACTTGTTCCCATTGGCTAGTCCCTGATAATCTGCTTGCCAGCTGCAGTTTCTGGCTTATCTTCATGGGCATCCTAATGTAGATGGTGTTACAGTAATCCAGTGGAGAGGTTACAGAGCATGGATCAGTGTGGCCAGATCGGCTAAGTGCAAGAAAGGAGAGAGCTGGCTAAGTAGATTCAGCTGATAGAAGGCAATCTGGGTCACTGCACCAACCTACTTTTGAAACAGCAAGGCCAGGCCCATGAACATCCCAGACTCTGTGGAGGCAGTTTAAAAAGTATATTAATTTTCACATACAATTTATATGCATGCCCATGCTCCTGCGTTGCTGGCCAGTGTACCAGTTATGTATGAAGTATAGCTAACTCGCCAACTGGGTGCCGGTAGGCAGCCCCACCCTCTGTACTATGTGGCCTTAGGTAAGGGAATTAAATTGCACTTGCAACCTGCCTGTAAACCACTCAGAGACCTTCGGGTCAGAGCGGTATATAAACCAAAAACCGAATGTAGTTATGTCTAACAATTCACTGCTTTGACCCACGGAGTGATAGTATCTCCTATCAGTGAAAGTTGGTTTAGTGAGAGCTTCAGAACTGTATCTGAATGTGTTTCATGTTTTAGGTATTATGTAAGAACAAAAACAAATGCTATCTCAAGTTGTTAATCAGTGACTCCCATGTGATGCTCGGATTCCATCACAAGGTTGTGCATATCACTGTGGGTGCTGTTTTGCAGATATTTGTTCTGAAAATCAATGTAGCTGCTCTGTGTTATGGTCATAGTCATAGACTTAATCTGGCAGTACTGGGAACCATGTGATTAAAAACCAGTTGTATAAAGATTCTCTTCTGGAGGCTGCTTAAAGCTGCTAATCACTCCTGTTCCATTCTTGATAGACAATCAAAATGGAGTTTTAATCGAGTTCTTTGGCTTTCTAATCAGTTGTAATTGTATAGATCTAATCAACTGAAACTTCATAGGTACCCTAGCGACTATGTGTTTTCATTACTATGATCTACTGAAAGTGTGTTGCTCAGATATAGTATCAGTGAGGGGGAACTGCTAGTATGCAGTTCAGTCCAGTCTATATTCACTTGTTGGGGCTTTTCTTTGCCCATGTAAACAGTATCCATGAGGCAAATGTGCATTGGGTGAGGGAGGTAAAATTGGAAGCATCAGTTAGTACCTGTAAATGAACTGGCTGAGTCTAGAATATTGTACGTGTAGAATAGCTGTTCCCAAGAGACCAGCTTAGCTAAAATCTGCATCTTTTGTTTGCAGTAAGTGTATTTAGCAATTAATACTGTAAGTCATGGAGAGCAAGGTACAAAAATCTAATTATTCTGAATGTAGGCTTGAAGGAGTTCTGTTAGGTGGCTTAATAGGCTACTGGCAATAGATTCCAGTTGCCACATGAGTAATAGCACAGGCAAGCTAAGTGACATCTAACACAATCCGAGCAAATACATAATCTTTATGCTGGAACTGTCACTGTAATAAAATAAGGTGCGGAAAGGAATTAATTTTACTGAACGTTAAGGGAGGGATTTAGAAGTTGGTTGTTTCGTTCTGTTCCTCAGTTCCCTCCTCATTTGTCACAGAACTACTTTTCTGAAACTTGCAAGGTCATAGAGAGTTTGGGGACTTAGAGGGTGTTTTCTCTTGAATTGATCCATTGGTCCTATCAGTTGTGATTAATTACATAGCTAGTAAACCAATTTATCCTAGGCTAGGAAGACGAAAGAGCAGTTGCCATTGTTCATCGTCCTTTTGTTAAACCTAACCAGATTTCATCAAGCCTTGCACCCTCTCGAAAATAAACACAACTGGTCATCAAGAGGAGTATTCCACCAGTATCATAGCTGGCCATCCTTCCAGAAATATGATCCAGCCATTGACCTTCCCAACCCTAAAAGTTCTTCACATTTGAATTATGATCACAGTTGGCTTTGTCATTCTTGCAGTGTGGCAATGATTGGTATTTCACCATTTTGCTTTTCTGCTTCTTTCCCCCTCCTCTCCATAGGTGTTATCTATCTACTGGAACATGGGGAGGAATATGTATTCACGCTGCCTAGTGCCTATGCACGCTCTATACTTACCATTCCTTGGGTGGAGCTTGGAGGTAAAGTCAACATTCATTGTGCCAAGAGTGGCTACTCGGCTGCTGTCACATTCCATACCAAGCCTTTCTATGGAGGAAAAGTACACAGGTACTGAGAACTGTCTTTTGCTTGCATTTCATTTGTTTTGTGATGGTACTAAGGCAAGATAGCTTTTGAGTCCTGTGTCTGATTGTTGTTAATTTTATACATTATTGTGACAAAGTGTGCTGTGTGGGCATTGTCCTACTTGCCTTCATGACTGTAATGGAACTCCCTAATGTTTCAGTTTCATAAATGGGGTGGACGAGATGCAGCCAATACTTCCTCTAAGCTGTGGAGTCTTGTGAGCAAAAATCCTACTTTGTAAGCTACTGGCATTAAAGTTGGGAGCGAGCAATTTGGCTACTGCATAAATTAGTTTGCTGTGCAGCCATCCTTCCTGAGCTAAGACAAAAATGCATGAGCCGGAGGCTAAAAAACTGCGAGCTAGCTCACACTAACTCAGCTTAGAGGGAACACTGGATGCAGCTTGCCAAAAAGTACTGTGTAAGTGAATCGAGACAGGAATTTGAATCCAGGCCCAAGCCCAATGCTGTTATTCATTAGGCCTTACTAGCTCAGTGTGGTGTATCTTCAATTGTAATTTTGGGCACAAACAACTTGAAAGTTCTCTTGTGTAACAATAATTGAAACAAATGGGAGCTGCATAAGTTCAATGTGGTTTCAGTAGAGCATGCGGAACAACTCCTGGCAGATTGTGCCTGTTGTTTAAATATGCATATCTTAATTATCAGTGTCACAAGTCTAACTTGCATGGAGGATTGCTTCTGTTTTTTGGAGGTTTTTTGTAATCATATGTTGAGATGATCTGAGTATAAGAGAAAACAAATTTATGCAGCTAGTTAATCAGAATGTTCTGAACACAGTACCATGGATGTTTTCCATCTCAGAAGCATATCCAGTTTTTAAAAAAGACTCTTTCTTGCATGAAAACCAAATTCTAAACTGGCTTTCTTCTCTTGAGTTTAATTGTGGTGGAAATATTTACATTGTTTGGAAGTTACTCCTTGTACCAATAATCGGTGTTAACATTTGTGTTGTCATTTGAATAAGGGTCACGGCAGAGGTGAAGCATAATCCCACCAATACCATTGTATGTAAGGCACAAGGGGAATGGAATGGCATGCTAGAATTTACATACAGCAATGGAGAAACCAAAACAATTGACACCGCTAAGCTACCCATTATCCGCAAGAAGATTAGACCCGTAGCAAAACAAGGTCCGTTTGAATCGAGGTGAGGATGTGTTTTGTTTTTTGGGAAATCACTGCCTCTAGCCGGGTCAGGAGGACCCACAGCTTCCTCCTCACTAGTCACTGCTGACAGCAGCCGCTATGGCTGCTGATGGGTATTTCAAAAGCAGTTTGGCTTGGGATGCAGAACTGTTGTTCAATCTAAAAACATACCTGGCTGGGTGCACACAATCCTAAAGCGGCCTTCTGAATCACAACCATTAGCTGAGATCCAAAGAGCTGCATTAGAGGTGTCTAAGGGATCTGGAGTGCCCACTGGAACTTCTTATTACAAATTAGGAAAGACGGTCATTCTCTCCCTGATGACTTCATGCCAGCTGTACTTTATCAAAATTCGGTGCTCAGAGTAAAATAGATACCTTAAAATCACAATATAGCGGCAGGGCTTTTTTTGTAGAAAAAGCCCACCAGGAACTCATTAGCATAATAGGCCATACCCAACAGCAGGAACGCATTAGCATATTAGGCCACACCCACGACAGCACAGCTCATTATCATATCAGGCCACACCCCCATGCTACCAGAAGTGTGTGTGTGTGGCCTGTTGTGTGTGGCCTATTATGCTAATGAGTTCCTGCTGGGTGTGGCCAATTTGGGAGACAGCCGGAACTCCGTTCCTGTGCGTTCCTGCCCCAAAATAGCCCTGTATAGCGGGAGCATTTTGCCAGTGTGTCTACTCAGGATGCCATCTTGGCCTCTCTCCCCATTATAGACTTGCCATATTACACACAGTTTTTGGAAGTCTCTTTCCAGAGCAGTTGTGAGCGGGACACTCACTGAAAAGCACAAACCCTGAATCCCTTTGGGTTCCTGGAACTTGGAGGGTGGTTCTTTGATCTTCACTACAATCTTTGAACTGGTAACATAATGTAAGCTATTCATAGTTATTACTGATGTGAAGCTCCACGTAGCACATCTGCTTAGCCACTGAAAAATTACTTTTCTGTCATGCAGAGTAGGTTTTATTTTTATTGTTATCAAGTATTGAACCTTTCTAATGTTAAAGCCCAGACGAAGAAAACAAGAGAAGAATATAGAAGGGGAATTCTAAGACCACATAATCATGTCAAAATATCTGAGGAGGTCATACTTGCTGCTATCCATTGAGAGCTCAGATAATCACCAGTGGAACAGCTAACTTTTTTTGGTTTTACTGTGCATACGACTGTTGTAAATTTTATACACGTTAAAATTAAGAGCAAATCCTAGAATGTACAGTGTCAAAGCTTGACTTGAAACAGGAGTGAATTCCCAAGCTTGAGCACTTAGGTTCAAGTCCATAAGTACTTCAGAGACCAGCAAGATTTTTGGGCTATAAGTTTTTGAGAGTCAAAGCTCCCTTCATCAGATACAAGTAGGAATGGAGATCTCTGAGTCTTTATATCCCAGGCAGAAGGTGTGGGAGGGTGCCGTAAAGAATGCAGAGGTACAGTGCATATTGTAATCAGCTTGATTAGAGCAGAGGGGAAATGCAGAGCTAGAGCTATGACTTAGAAATCCTTTGCTCCAGACTGTCACTGATGCTTTTGGGGTGGGGTTTGGGCTTGGCTTGTGAAGCTGAATCTCATTTGCTGATTTGAATAGGCCTGGGCATTTGAATCATCACCATCCCCCCAAAATGTTGGTTTTGATGCAAGGTTTTAATATTCTCTTGTTTTTATTGTATGGCTTGATCTGCTATACTAGGCATCTCTGGCAACATGTCACCAGCGCCCTGAAAGCAGACAACATTGTTCTAGCGACAGAGCATAAGCACCTCCTTGAAGAAAGGCAGAGAGCAGAGGAGAGACAACGGGAAGTTAGCAATACACCATGGAAACCAAAATATTTTATTAAAGAGGTAAGGGGAATGACATGAAGGGTCAGTCAGCAAACAACAGTTCCTTATTTTCCTTTGCCATGGCAAGCCACTGTGCTATCCTTAGGGATCCTTCTGATGTCTGTTTTAGAAGTGTTTCTGGACTTTGAGCAACTTACAGTGCTTTAATTGTTCTCTAGCATTTTCTCCCATATAACCAAATTGGGAATGATATTATTAGTAACATACTTATTTTAAAAAATGTCTTGACACTGGTCTTTTATGTATAATGCACAGGGCTCATTCTGCTTAAAATAATGAAATACTGTAGCCAAGGATATTTTAGTGGAAAGACTCATGAAGTCAGTATATCAGTAAACCCAGAGCTTGGAGTCATGAACTGACAAGACAGATCCTTCTACAAACCTACAAAAACACCCCACATTCGCAGAAAAATGTGAAATCTTAAATCTTAAAAAAAACAAACCAAAACACCATTGGGGGATTTAAAACCCCACCAAATAATAGAAGCAGCACCTGTTGCTTTAAGAAACAAATACCCTCAGTGGCCATAGCCAGACAACCACATTGCCTTTGTTTCTGTCATTAAAGGCAGGAGGAGGAAGCAGGGCCCTTTACAGGGCTGTTTTGGCCTTTGAGAGAGGACTCACCAGGGCCAGCAGCAACCATCAGGTGTCTTGATACCAGCTGACTAGCATGATGACTCACGGAGGCCTGGCTGCTTGCTGCTGTTCAACAGCAGCCATCCATTAAAAAACAGTGCAGTGTAGTGGTTACTGTTTCAGACTAGGATATGGGAAACCCAGATCTGAATCCCCGCTGTGCCAAGCTCACTGGGTAACCTTGGGCTAGTTACAAATTTTCAGCTTACCTCACATGATTTGTTGTGAGGATAAAATGGAGGAGAGGAATATGGTGTAAGCTGCTTTTGGTCTGTGTTGTGAGGCAGTGTATAATTAAATAATAAATACAGCTGAAGATGAGAGACAGATCAAAGGTATGTTGGTTGATGGGTGGGAAGGTGAGAAGGAAACAGGGAAAGGTGCTTGGTGTTGCCAGGAGAAGGGGAAAAGGACATTGTGGACAGAAAGGATACAGGGGGCATCTCATTTCCCCCTGGAATTCTTTGTGGGTTCCCACAGTGCATCTGGCCCAGGTATGATGGCCAGAACAGCATGACTGGGCCATAGTTTTCCTGGGTAGAAAGTGCCAGGAGGAGGGAAGAAGAGAAAGCTGAAGACAAGGAACAGCTGGCTGGTGAATGGGAAAAAGAGATGGAAGCAGGAAATGGGGAGAGGCTATGGGGGCTTTTGGAGATAGGAAAGAGAAGTGGTGGAAGGGAAAATTAGATGCCCCTGCAAGTCCTTTTGGGTCCCCCGCTTGGTTTGCAAAAGTCTGAACTGTAATGGACCCCCATTATAAAATTAACATCTGAGTGTTGTGTGTGTTTTCAGATGCACTGGTTGTCTAGAAACAGGGTTGGAGAGAAGACTGTCCTGGTTAGTTACCACACATGAAAACCTTAGTTCATGATTTTCCTTCCACTTGGCATGTTTAGAGGAGCAGCAGTGTGGGCCATGAGAGAGAATGAAGATGTGGACAGAATAGCTATGGCACTGAAGTATTCTCAAAACAGGCTGCTTTGTTACCTAGTGAACAATAATAATTATAGTGATGCAAAGTAGTAACCTCAGAGGGGCAAAGGGCAGTCACTGTGTAGCTGGAACATCTTTTCCAGCCTTTTCTATAGCAGATGCCCCATTCCAAGATCCAAGTTTTTGAGACTGTTTTCTTGGTAGCAGCCTCCAGTCTTGAGGAGGCTTACCACTGGTAAGAGTACCTTCTGTATGTTCACGGTACCCTTTGCTCTCGTATAAATTGTTGCTGTGAATCATGGCAGTTCTATACAAGCTTGTAGAATACTTTTATCTTGTGTGAGGAGCAAGCTGCATTGTAATAAAGTGAGATTTATTTGCAAGATTTCTCTAATTCTTCACAGGGTGATGGATGGCTCTACTTTGACCCCCTCTGGAAGACCCACTGATAACACCTGAACTCATGAGAAGCCTGTTTCCTAGAGGCATTAAACAGATGCACTATTTACATTTCAGGTGTGATTAAGTCTTGCTATAAATTAAAAGCTGTGTACTGTGAATAATACAATTCTGAACAGCTAAATGCTCGAGTTTACTGAGAAACCATTTGGTGTGCATCTGTAGACTTGCACACTTACTGTGTATTATGTAAAAGCCTATTGTACACACACACACACACAGAGAGAGTATCTGATCTTTTGCACTGAAGCCAATGCGTATCATGTTGCTTGCAAGGTCAGGTTTTGTGTTGGGAATTAACACTCTTAAAGTTACTAATTGACATTTTCTATTTTTCACATTGCCAAAAATGTTTTTGCACTTAAAATCACTTGACACTGATGGCCATTTCATGGGCAAGCCGGTGACTTAAATTACTTGCTTTGACACAGGAATGGTGATTCTCCTGGGGTATTCTGTGTAAGAGCATGTTTGTCTTTGCGACTCACTCTCAAGCACTTATTTCCTGGCATCTTGGAATAAGACATCTTATATCTTAAGCAGCCTTGTCCAAGTTCACCCACTGTATCCTGTTCTTCCAAAGGCAGGTTTTGCATACCCCTTTGTTATTCTTTTGGGCCTTGGGCATCAGGATCTCTGGATGGTGCCAGTGGCTAAACGTGCCAGAGACCTCTAAAATACTGTGCTTCACAGACCATTAATTATCCTTTCCAGCACAAAGTAGCTTCTCTCTTACTTCTCTATTGTTTTTGGCAATGCTAACTGGTTAGATGCTTTTCCATTTAGAAAGAGCATATGCCCATCCTTAAGAAAATAAATTTAGCTGCTGTGGCAGTCCTTCATGGCAAAAGGGCTTTCAAAAGGGAGAGAGACCTGATTCATGCATAGTCTTCAGAACATGAGCCCCTAGCCCTAAAGTGTTAAGTGACCCCCATGCAAGAATGAAGGTGGATTCACAGAGTTGTCTTTTCTACTCTTTGCATTGGGGGGGGGGGAATAATTATATGGAGCCCAAGTCAGGTATTCTGAATTTAGCTGGTGAAAGTTAAGACTGTAAAGGATTCAATCCAACTCCTTGTCCCTGATCTTGTAAAGTAGCCCCGGTTGATGGATCAGGCAGGAGAATTGCACACACAGCAGCTGTTTTGTATGTGCACTTTTGCGAGTCCAGCCAAGGAAGTGTATGCCAAAGCTTAGCTGCACTGGGCCAATAGGGGATCTATGTGTATTCCCAACTTCTGACTGGTTCAAAAGGTCCAACATTAAGCTTAGTGGGCTTCAATAATTGGACTGTGATTCTGTATGGAGTTTGGACATCCACTGCAGAATTCAGAGATAGGACCAATAAGTCCAAGAGAAGACTACAAAAGCCATTTTACAGTAGGGAGAAAAGGTCACATGAATCCATCACGAGATGGAAACGATATAAAATTAACAGTACCGAAGCTTGGTTGTGCTTCAGTTGTGTCATCACTTCTGCTGATGTCGCTTAAAGGCAAAATAGGCTGGATTTAAATTAACGTGTTTGCGTAGAATGTTCTTTGCTCAGACCTTAAATTATTTTCATGGCATCCCTTTAAAAAAAAATCCTATTTGTTAGTCATGCAAACTGATCTATACATTGTTCTGATTATTTTTGTGCCTTTTGTTAAATCCCATTTACTCACATTGTATATAAACAGAAAAAAATCTAGTTAGATACACCTGGTAATATTAAGCTTTTTTTAAAAGAAGTATTTTCTGCTAAGGCGGCAGTCGAAACTATATGTATCTCTTATAAAGGAATGTATCACATCATGTTACCTTTTGAGTTATCCTTCATTATCTGCTTTTCATTGAAAGAGCATCATAGTTGCCTCGAGATGCAGTGATGAACCCCACCCTTGAGCCGCCTGTATTGTACACATGTCTTGGCGTGTGAAAGCCATTGTATTTACAAAAGAGTTTTTTGTACAATGTTTAACCTCTTTTCAAGGAAATAAAACTTGTACAACCTCAGATGTATAGAAATCTTGTTTTGAAAGGAAAGCCATGTAGCCTAGGCTTTTCTCTCTTGGTTTCTAAAAGCCAGTTACCTGTATTTACAGACTACCAGCAAAACCTCGTTTGCCCAGCTTGAATCTCGAGGACCTGGGAAATCATAGCAAGGTCATCTGAAATTCAGACAAATGTCATTATTCAGCTTTCTCAGTACCATGCTTTGATCATTCACCAAAGAACCAATTATATTACCCTGGAATTATTTTTCTTTTATTTTTATGTTTGCATCTTTGGCTAGAGTCCTAAACTTTTCTCCTCAGATTTAAGTGTGACTGTAGCTATTCACAGGTGAGAGCTTTTGGAGGCCAAAGAAAAGATCTGGAGATCTACTTACATGTAAATGAAGAGCTGACTTGGATTCAGGGCCCTGGTGTTTATCACTGTCCTTTTCCTCAGTTCCCCAGGTAGGAATCACCCTCTGGAATTGCATTAGGTGTGGTAGAGGACAAAAGAAAGGGCCCGAGAACTGTCCAGTATATCAAGTCTTATTTCCTGCATGGCTGCACTGCATGGAGCTGGTCGCTTGCGCTGAAATTAAGGCGTACCACATTGTTTGCAGGATCAGCCTTTGCCTCGTTAATTAATATTACTTTTATCGGCACCTGATTCCACAGGTGAAATCTGCCAGGATTTATTTTCCAAGACAAACAGGCACAGGATAATGCTGATCAAGAAAAAAATTCTCGCATGAGAGCCAGGAGAATCATTAATTTCCTTTCCCATTTAAACATTGCCCCATGCATTTCGCAACTGAGACCATATGTTGGGGGTATAAAGGAGCAACATGCCTTATTTGTCCGTCTTCTCATGTTTGTCATGCACCTGCAACTGAATACTTCCTTTGAGTGTACACTTTGAACTGTAATGTAAATTTTGATGTACTTCCAGTTAACCTTTGTGCACAGCTGTAGGACCTATGCAAAAAATTTTCTTACATAGAATTGTTCAAAAAGTTTATACTTATTTGTTAAAAATCAAATTATCTGGCAGTCACTTCTGATTAGCCTTCCTTTCATAATCTGTGAATTAAAATCACAAACTGGAGACACTCAATAAATTTTATTTGAATGTATTGGTTGTGATGCACTGTTTGTTTTACTCAGCTGTTCTAGGTCCCTAATATCTGGTGCAGTCTGACAGTCCATTTCACTTATATTAATATTCAACCTCAGTTTCCATAGGGCTTATGCTGGCATTTGAGGGACAGTATGTAAGTTGTCATGTCAAGTAAAGCATGATAGGCAGGAGCAGATGTAAGTAAGCCATGATTTAAGAATTGAGAACATGTCTTCTGGGTTATGTTTTGCCCTAGTTTATCATTAAATCGAAGAGCACTTAAAGCTTCAGTTCGAATACAGTAGCAGCTTTGTTAGCTGGCACTTGATTATTCAGAATACCCAGTTGACTGTCATTGCCCTGAAGGCAAACTCTACTCCTTGTGTCTTTGGGCATGTGAACCCCACTCCCACCTTGCCAGTCAGCCAGCTTGATGCCTCTGGTCAATGTTGGGTTCCTTTCAGTTGGTCAGCTGATATCATCCTCAAGTTCTCCCTGCCCATAGCTGTTGGGTCAGCTCTGCAGGAGGAAGACTGGGCAGCTTATCTGCTTGATATGTAGAATGGGTCCCAGGCTTGAGAGGTATCACAATGGCATTTCGAATGGGGTGATGTTTGGCTGTGTGAATTCCGCCGGGTATAGGCTGTGCATACCAGTAAGCTTGATTAAATGGCAACTGCCATTGCTTATTACTGCCAGATGACATCTCTTTTACCATGCTTATTTTGAATTCAGGTAGAGTTGGCAATGGCCCTGTGTAATGATTATCTGCCATAACGATCGAGGTAGATGGAGCAGGCCAATTCTCTACACCTATTTTGGCATTACAGCTACATTGTTAATTGTGTAAAAAGTGAAAGCTTAATTATAGCAGGGACTGAGTCGGGCATGGTCTACCAGAACTGAAGTTTGATTAAAATGGGTACTCCTCTTGCTTCCATTCTTTGTACTACTCTCAGCTGTGCAAACACACATCTCTCTCCCCCCACTATTACCAGCTGAAGAATACTTTGGACATAGAGGGACATTTGTCCAATGACTGTTATGACTTTGCATTTCAGAATAGAGCCTCATTTTGTGTATTTAACGATTTTGATTGCAGATCTTTCTCTAGGTGCCTGAAAGTGTAATCCTATACAGAGTTATTCCACTGTTATTCCACTTAAATCAATAGAGTTAAGATTGGAGTAGCTGCACAGAATTGTACTACAAGAGCCATAAACAGTCTTTTTACTCTGGAGTTAAATATGACTCTCTTGCAGCCTTCAAAGCCAATCTGAAAAACAGGTATAGTTGCCTGATCTCATGCCAACATAACCCAGAATTCTGTGCCATCCATAGCATGGTTTGGATCTTAAGCTTCAGTACAGTCAAACTTTACGTTTACTTTGTATGTAATGATGCATTCTGTCTTAGAAAGTCATTTATACACAGATGCTTCCAGAAGACCCAAGTGCAGAGTGTCCTGCTGTGGTGAAGGCTCTCCTTTCATCTGACCCCATTTTTTATTTTCCCCCTTTTCCTCCTCCATCACTTCAATGCCTTTATGCACTTCCTGGTGTTTCTAAAACTTTGCAAAAGCCCAGCATGTACATAACCAACATCTTAAAAAAATTACTAGTGGGAAGGGAGGGGGACGGTCTGCTATCTGGGAAGAGAGGCGATAGTGATTGCCAGTCAGCACCAGAGCCCTTTGCTCCTGAGCCTGCTTATCTATCCTAGACCATACAGCGTGGATTCATAGTGTTATTTTGAGTAGAGAGGGATCAGCTTTGCCATCTGTCTGAAAACATTTAGCCTACATAAACCATTATGAAACTACCGTGTTCTAGAGGTGTGACAGTTTCTGTAAGTGTAATCAATTGTCACTTGTGTAATAGCAGGCTTAGGCTCCTACCATCCTCTTGCTCCTGCTTAGTGGTTCTTTGGGCGCGATGTAACCTTTCCATGGATTTTTTTTCCTTCCCAAAAAGTGCTCCCAAAACTTATTCTGCACTAGAAAATTGTCAAGAACAGCAGGAGAGCGGAAATTGGTGAAAAGCTGCCCACCAGCACTCTTATAGAAGTGAAGGAGCCTTACACAAACTTCTGTATAAGGAAGATGTCTGCTTCTCCTTTTTGCTATTAGCTAGTCTTATTGTATCCCACACTGTTCCCAGGACTCCCTCAGCTTTGGTGGGGATGTATGCATGTGCAAGGAGTTGCCCATACATTTAGGGGCTGCAAAAATGCACCAGGTATTGAAGAACTGGGTTCAGCTCTTCCAAATAAGTGCAACTGTAGTCAATGGTCAAAGGTTTGGATATACCTATTTTAAACTGTGCCGGGATATTGCAGACACAAGTTACATTTAGTTTCTTAAAAACAAAGTGTTTCTCAGAAGTAGAAGGTTAATTTTTAGTGTTTGTTTTTAGAAGGCCAGCTACAAGTATCACAAATGGTCCAGCTCAATGTATGGCAATTTTTTAAAAAGTGGAATCTTCTAGCTTTATGGTAGAAAGCCGAAAGAACAACTAGCCTGCCACCTGGGTGCCGGTAGGTAGCCCCACCCCCTGTACTATGTGGCCGCAGATTAGGAGTAAAATTTGCACTTGCAACCTGCCTGTAAACCGCTCTGAAACCTTCGGGTCAGAATGGTCTATAAATTGAACGTATAAAAAAAATATTCAGGAACCCACTTGCAAAGTAACACTAGATTTCTTCCTCCTCCCAGATATTAACTATAGCAGTTTTGCATCATTTTTTTGTCATGTTTGGTATTCATAAAAACACAAGGGGCACCTCATTTTCTCCTATTTTCTCTTTCCCCTTCCCACCAAACTACCTTTAACCAACCTTCCTTCCCATGCAAGCTGATAAATGGCTGAGTTGTGCAGTGGTGGCCATTGGGTCTGACCAATGCTCCAAGCTGTGGAGTTTTGTGAGCAAAAATTCTACTTTGTGAGCTACTGGCATTAAAGTTGTGAGCAAGCGATTTGGCTACTGCATAAATTAGTTTGCTCTGGAGCCATCCTTCCTGAGCGAAGACAAAAATGTGTGAGCTGGAGGCTAAAAAACTGAGCTAGCTCACACTAACTCAGCTTAGAGGGAACACTGGTTTGGACCCAGCTGCACTGTGGGATACTGAAGTCCTTACAGGGGGCACCCCATTTGCCCCACTATTCTTTCCCCATACTGTTTCCTTGTTCCCTCTCCCCTTTCCTGGCTCCTTCTCTTTCCCACTTAACCTTTTATGTGCCCCACCCCCATCTTCAGCTATATTTATTATTCATTTATCCCCTGCACTTCTCCATTGCAGGGACCCAAAGCAGTTAATTTTCCCCCTATAGTAACCCACTGAAATAGGTAAGGCTGAGAATTGTAACTGGCCCAAAGTCACCCAATGAGTTTGCACATTAGAGTGGATCTCCTAGATCCTAGTCTGAAATTAACTGCTGCAGCACAGACTTTCATGCAATGGCTGCTGTAGTGAGCAGCTGAGCCTGGGTGAGTCATGCAAGTCTCATGGAAAGCCCCCCCCCTCCATTTTTTACTGACAGAAACCAAGGCTTGAAGGCTGTCAGTACTTTTGTGATTCCCTAGCCACAGGGGTAATTCATTTCTTAAAATTACAGGTGCTGCTTCTATTTTGTTTTTAACACATACACACTGTGTTTTGCTTTGTCTTTAGATTTTTCTGCAAACCTGGGGCTTTTCTCAGGTTTTTAGAACAATCTCTATAGAAAGATACCTCCAATCTCTGGCTTTATGTATCCATAGACGGGGTCATATTGAGAATTAGATTATGTCGATAGCAATAGTTAGCAAGAGGCTGAATATGACCATTTTGCATATTACACAAAGGCAAGCCTTCCTTTCTCCAGCTCACCCTATTTTTTTCCTTCTGGGCTTGTGACTTCTGGTATTGCCCCACAGTTTGAGAACTACTGCTCTAGTTGCAGCAGAATTGTCATCCAGTGTATACACTTCCCCCCAGGGTCAATGGAATCTGAAACAAGGGTCTTAAAGGTTAGGAGCATACCCATATTCATTTTCAACGACTTACTATGCTCACACAGTGCCACCTTCAGGGTAGCAACTGATTTTCATGGAAGGAAATGAACTGCAATAACGCAGCATGCTTGGTTCTGCTCCCTAGAAAGCTTCTGAAGTCTTATATTTCAAATTAGACTCATAGTCTAACTTACACCCAATACCATATAGTCCATGAGAACAATTGCTGTGGGGGGTAGAAATTAAAATAGGTCAGGCTTTTAAAGTACAGCAGTGGTGACAGTAGACCATTGCACCATAATGTCTTGTTATGTGGCAAGATAGAAATATTTTTCTGGTACCACATTCTATTTCACCTGAATCAAAAATTCCCTTAGTGTATTTTGTATATTTATGATGTATCGGTCACTGTTAAACCTGATAGTGAGCTTTTTTTTAAAAAAAAAAAGCTTGCTGTGGTACTTGAAAGCATTTTGGATGTTTCATTTCTAACTTTATTTGTAAGAAAACCTTTTTTCCACTGAAAACAAAGTAAAATTGGTTGCAGAAGTCTTATCTGAAATAACTTTTTCATCCATTCAATTAAAACAGTTATTCAAAAGCATCTGTTGTATTTCAAATTGAGGGCTTATGTTTTGTTTTTTTTAAATTAAACAATGGTCATGCACTGTTATGGTTATGTAACCGGTACTGATATCTACAAGGTCCATTTTCCTCAGGCAATGTTTCTGACTCCCATTTTCCTTGTGGTTCAGTCATTATTGCATCATGTCACCATGAAAACATCATCATAATGAATTGGGTGGGTTGTACCATTTGTGGCAGCAGCAGAACTCGGAGGATTCTAAGATACACGATGAAACATGTTTTTTTAATTAACCCAAAGGAGGAAACTCCAAAAGAGACATTGATGAGGACTGAGTACAGTCCTGGAGAAACAAAATGTGGGATGAAACTGAGAAGCAGTTAAAAAAGGCAGATAGGAAAACTGGCCTGAGGTTGTTGGCTGGACATCTCCTGGAACTACAACTGACCTCCAGGCTACAGCACTAATTTCCCCTGAAGAAATGGCTGCTTTGAAGGGTGACTGTGGCATTCTAGCTTGCTGAGGTTCCTCCCCTCCCTAGGTTCCGCCCCCAGAATCTCCAGGGATTTCCCAACCCAGAGCTGGCAAATTTAGCTCAAGCCCATGTAAGGTTACAAAATCATGAAGGGAGAGATTTTGGAGAGGAAGAGAAGTTCCAAATTCTCCCCACCCCCCCAGCACTTCCTCACAGATCTGCCAACTTGTCTCCATATCTTCAAGTAGTATGCTCAATATAAAGCTCAGATATTTGCACAACTAGATATCAAATCTGATTTTTGTAAACCTTATGAAAAGTGAGCTATTTGAAGTTTCATATTAGAACTATAACCCAGATTTATAGAAGTGATATTAATAATGTGGTACCGTTTAAGAGAATACAATAAGAAGCCTAGCACAAGTCACACTGATATGTATTAAACTCATAAATATGAGATTAGCATTGATTAAAGATGTACCTCAAAATGCATAGCAACCCAAAATAACCAATTAAGCCTGTACTTAGTTTACAAATCCTTAATGGAAAACAGACAATATTTATCCAGCCTTCTTTTGGGAAAATGTAGCTCTTTTTAATGAAGAAAGTAGTTATTAAACTACTGCAAAAATAACTGAATATGGTAATAGCAAAGGGAAATTATGTTTAAAGAAATATTTATAAGTAACTCCATATCAAAAATTAGCACAACCTAACAGACTCTTCTAAGATTTATTTCTTGATATCTTAGGAAGGAGGCCTTAAGGATCTTTAGCACTGCACCTTTTAGAAAACCCAAGATGAGTAAAACAAACAAAAAGAATAGAAGCCAATCATTTAACACAAAACTTGATTTAACTTTATTTTTCCCTATAGTCAACAACGGGTCTGCATTGAGTTTTAAAGCAACAAAGTAAAATAATCTCAATGACAAAGGGTCAGAAATCCAGACTGTTATTTTGTGAAAATGTTGCCACTGCATTATTGATCTAATAACCTCTTTACTCAAAAATGAATTTACAAAGAAAAATTATACATCTGAGAAAAAAAATCAGCAGTAACATTCTCACTGAGCAATAGATAATTTTGTTTGGAAGGTACATACTATTCTGCTTTATACCAATACATCTGGTATAAGCCATCTCCTATATCAAAATTATATCCTGTGGCTGTCAAGGGAAACCCACCACTTTCTCTTTTTAAAAACTTTATTAAAATAACTAAACGTTCAAGTTCATGAAGTTTCCTATAGCTGGAAAGTGAACATGTTCAGTCTCCATTTGTATTTAGTGCACTTGATAAATTGTCTTTTTCATAAAGTATAAAAGACAAAAGCAAATTTTCAAGCAGAAGTTTCAAACTAAAGCACTAAATAAAAATATGAAGATAAGCTAGTCATTTCCAGGAATCCAACCCCAAGAAAAAGGCAGGTTAGTTTTATAAACCCTCTGCCTTTCAGATAGCCACAGCAAGGGAGTTTGGATACTTGTCAATTTTTTTTCTTAATGGGCCAAATTGTTTTGACTCTTAAATATGCAGCTAAACAAGTTCTGAAAACACCAGGTGCTGTGGTGCTCAGCAGCATTCATTACTGTCGTGTCTGATTTAAGATACAAATGTAGCCCTTTTGTATCTATCTACTCTGCACAAGATCTGCCCCCTGTACATTTTAGGAGCACAAGGGGTAGCGAGACCCCCTTTTCAAAACACATTGCATCATCCAATTGTATCATCTGTCCCGTGATTAGTGAACATCGCAACTTGGCTTACAGTCCTGAACACAACATACAGCAATAGAAGAGTACATAGAAGGAAACTTTGTAAAATAAATACCTCAAAAAGGAGTTGTTCTAATAGCCGAATATAAAAATATCCACACTTCTGAGAGTGTCAGACTGAGAATAGTCAATTCATACATTACCATTCCAGTTAAGGTATTGCTGTTCAGCTGAAATTAAAAAACTGACAAGTATGCATGTGCCAAGGACCAAATTAGAGGGCTCTTTGGTGCAATCAGTCCAAATTCTCAATAGATTGGAAGGATAATATGTACCAATAAAAAAAACCTGCTGCTAGACCTGGATAGCAGCTCTGTCTTGCTCCACAATACAAATCTAGAACAGCTGTTCTCAATAAGCCAAAAAATTTTAAAGTCAGACATTGCCTGAAAGTTTTGTACAATAATCTGGACCAATGATGGTTCTGTACCCTCATGTTGCTGTGAAACATGACTTGAGCTAAAGGCAAAGACTGGTTATCTCAAGGACAACTGCTTCATATTAGCAATCAGTGTATTTAAACTGTCTTCCTGTTGGGTCTCTTGCCTTTCTTTAAAATTAGTTTATTCTTAATGTAGCCACGCTTCCTTTTGGCAGTCTAAAAAGAAAAACAGAATATTGTATTAGTTAATTATAATGCTCTAATGACTGCATTGTTTTTTGAATTTCTCTTGAACTCCTTAAATGTTAAATTTATGTCAGGGCTGGAAAAATGGCAAGCAACTGGTTACCCAGGCACCTAGAAACTACCACCTAAGACTCAGAACTGTTTTTCAAACCCTGACAAGATGGTGACTTATTGGGCATGCTATACATTTGAAGGCTAGTTTCAAGGCAGACTTTGTATCAGGATTTCTTAAACCAAAAGAATGATCTCGTATCTGCCTTTGATCAGTTGTGCTGGTGCCACTACAATCTTCAGTATATAAAAGTGCCTGCTCAAAATCTACAAACATTACCAAACCAGGGACATCTTTAGAAAACTGGGGTGTGACGTTATTTTCAAAGCACCTTAAGCCAAATGGAACACTTCCCCACTTAGTTTTCATACTACATTAGCTAAAAACATTAAACATAATCTTTTTAGTGCTCAGCGTTATTCTGCATATTTCTGAAATAAAGGCATATATATAGCACCTGATTTTTCCTCCATAGCTGTGTCCTACAAAACTCTTACTCTGGCATCTTATTCCAAATTAAGGTGCTTATGTTTCAGTCTCAGATCTACCTTGTTAGTTGGTCAATTAATCACTATATACTTATTTCTTGAAGTGCACAAAACAGTCAGATTGTGTAAAATTCACCCCAAAGATCTGTCTACCACAAAAAACAAAAGGGGTAATGGTATCACCATTCTGCAGCCTGGTGGATCAACTTATCTCTGACATACAGCTATTTTGGCACTAAATCATATAAACCTCTATAATTGTACAGGCTGCCATATGTACGATGCCACACTAAATGCAGTACATAAATTTACCACAACTACTTAGAAAAGAAATTGCATCCTTATTGCAACTTCACAGTGCACTTTCTTGAAATGAAGGGAAACCTTACAGACTTTCTGAAAGTGAATGCTAATACAAAAACAGTTTGCAGTTGTATAAAATTGCAATTCCTGTTAAGGCACATATACTTGACTCATCCACACATTTGTTTCTCTAAAACAAAGACTGTGTTTTTTTTACTTCAATGAATTAAAAAAGCAGGGGCAAGACTATTGGCTGAAACCTGCATTTCCATACACAGCAAAAGCAAATTAAACTTGGCAATATGTCATCGGGAAAGATGGTACAATAATTTACACACACATGAATGCTGCACATTAAAACAGCAGTTGAAATGCTTATTATATCTGTTGTAAACATTTAGAGATCCACTAACAGCACCGGATTAAAATCATAGTTGGATACGGCAGACAGACAGTGGTCACATTCCTCCCTCCATAATTAGTTGCAGATTATGAGTTTGCATGCAGTTAGTACTGTGCACTTAATAAAAATAAATTTTCTGCCTTACCATAGTAGGATTTTAATACAGCAAGTGATAGCTTTTGTGTGAAAAAGGTTTTTTTTTTCTGTAAAGAGTGTGAAAATATCCACTTCTTACCTCCCCATTCAAAGCAGCAGCATGAACATTTCCAAGCAGATGCTTCTGTACACCCACATGAGATGCACATGAAAGAAGCCAGGAAGCAAGATAGAAACAGCAGACAGGGAAAACCCAAGGACAGGAGTGGGGAGTATATATAGCAGACAATATTTGTGCATGTGAGCAACAGAGAAGCCAAATCATGAGGAAAACAAAGGTGTTTTTTTTTTTTTTAAAAGGAATGGCTAAATGAGGATCTATAAATTCAGCTTTACTATCAGGCCATGCAAGTTTTAATTCAGGGCCAATTTATACGATACAAAGTCCTCATGGCAGTGTGCGCCTAGAAGGGGCTTCAGCATCCCCCTGTACCATTTTTACAAACAGAAACTGTCCTGGGAAGCTGCTATTTGCTCTACTGGGAAACCCAGGTGTAATAGTGGCTAGATGTAGGTTTCCCAGTGGAGAAAACGGGCAGCTCCCTTGGGTAGTTTCAATTTGTGAAAACAGCATGGGGGGAACAGACTGATGCCCCTTCCCCATTTTCACCCTGGCCACATTTGGAACATGGTCCTTGCAAGCCACGGAACTCCTGGTGTAGATGTAATATAAAGTTACAAAGTTTTTGTAACCACCACAAGGATTTTGTACTGTGTGAATCAACACTCAGTTCCAGTGTCAACTTACCAATCAATTTTGTGCATTCTCTACACAAGCCATACTGAAAGTTATACAACTGTGGTCCTGACATGACCTTACTACAATTGTAACCTCTGTAAAACACAGTTGATTTAATAAGCGTTCAAAAACTTTTGTTATCGATTTTATAAGAAATCATGCAAAATCAGAGTTTAATGCTTTAAAAAGGATTTTCTTTTCATGCCTAAGGACTTTTACTGAGTAATAGATTAGAACAGCACACAATATAGTGTGTATAATGAGCACTGTGTTTTAAGTGAGATGATTTTAAAAAAGAGTAAGAAGCCAGACACTCACACACTTGTCAACAAAAACTTCAAATTTAATTATTTTACAAAAAAGGCATTCTGAAATTTTGAGGCATCACTTTTCCACTTTTCAGAAAGACACTTTCACATTTTACTGAGCGAGCTGCCATAGTTACTGAAACACTACTAATGAATTTTAGATAGTATACTTTGTTACATTTAGCTTGGATTTTTAAAAGACTTTGTTAACAGCCTTTGTCAGTCTGCCAATTTAGCGACAATAAAATTTAGTTGTTCTCACATGCTCGATTAATCAGAGTGTTAGTTAGCCACTGTCACCATCAGGCAGGTTTGATCTTCAACACAAATTGTCTCTGTATTTTGCTAGTGGACAGAACTAATACAGCTGGTAAATCTATGTAACACTGTAAACCTCCACTGAGGTACTTCACTGGGAACCCACCTTTTTTGACAAATACTTCTGTTTTGGTAAAATGTTGGTTAGTCTAGGCTTATGGTCCAGTGTCTCTCTGTTGTCTAGGTGTTTTACTTTATATATTCTAACAAGCCAGTGCTCTGATGTAAAGGCTTCTTCCAAATGTTTAAATTTAATGTCCTTGTTGCCAATCTCAGCATTCCGCGTGCGGTCGAATCCTGGGGGTGTCCGAAAATCCAGCTACAAAATTAATACCAAGTTTTAGCTTGCAGGAATGAGCAATGCTGGAACAGAACTAGCCATATATATTATCGCTTTGAAAAATGATCTGTATTTAAAATACAATTTCAAAATCACTTTACGAACATCTACATATAATATTTGCAACAGGTCATCATCATGGGGGGGCTAATTTTAATTAATGCATTAGAGCATTAAATACTCTTATTTGTTTTTAATGTTATTTTTTAAATATTAGAAAACTTATGGACCACCTCTCCAACAGTAGTGTGCAAGGTGGAGTACAATTACCAAAAATATAAACAAACAAAATATATGCTCAAAAATAAAGCATCATCAACAAAAGAGCAGACAGAAACAAGTTAACCATAAAACCAGGAATGATAAAACAGAATAGCAAATAAAATCAAGTTAAAATGTCAAAATTATCAGACTCTTATTATCCTACCAACATATACTGCTTATAACAATTCTCATTTGTGCTTTAGCTACTAAGTAGATGCAAAATGGAATGAGCACAAAAGGTTCCTTTTAGGAGGCACTTCACCAGCCACCTTATTTTTATACTTCCTGTACTTGAGAACTGGAATGGGGAACTTGCATATTGTATCCTTGAAGTTTCGAGTCATCTTTCCCCATCTTATCCTTTCCTCTGCTACACCTGAAAATCCTTTACTTAACATTGGCTGAGTTCAGACTGGCAGTTTGAAGCGGGAGGGAGTCGTGGCAAAAAAGAGCCGGAACAAATTGTTCCAGGTTTTCCCGTTCACACTGCAGTGACTGATGTGGGAGCATAGCGGGAGGAAGCGCAAGGGAGCGTCACACTGTTGGCCCAGAGGCATGGCTGCAAGGTGCGGCTTTTTAAAAAAAATCTGGAGATATGCCCTTATGCGCATGAGCGCATAAGAAAAGTGTGGCTTTTGGCGTTCACACTTTGTTGGTGCAGGATGGACGTGGGATAATTGCGCTTTCCAGGGTTTGCTACCACTTTCACCAGGTATCTTTTAAACCCGGGAGTGAAGCGTTACAAGACGGGTTGAGTACGGGTGGGGAACGCCTGACAGATGTGCCTGTGTGAACAGCCCCTTTAATCCGGTTGTGGAACGTTTCTGAAACGCGTGTATATCAGGGCAAACTGCCAGTCTGAACTCGGCCATTGTGTTACCATTGTGGTGAGTGGGACCATTGTGGTGAGTGGGGCCCTTGAGGCAGTGGGGCCCTTGGATGACCAAGGGAGTAAAAGGAGTAAGGAAGGATGATAGGGAAATGGCTGAGAAGCTAAATGCATTTTTTGCCTCTGTCTTCATTGTGGAAGATGAGAAATGCTTGCCCACTCCAGAACCGCTGATTTCGGGAGGGGTGTTGAAAGACCTGAGTCAGATTGAGGTGACGAGAGAGGAGGTCCTAAAACTGATAGACAACTTAAAAACTGATAAATCACCAGGACCAGATGGCATACATCCGAGAGTTCTGAAAGAATTCAAATGTGAACTTGTGGCTCTCCTGACAAAAATATGTAATCTTTCCTTAAAATCTGCCTCCATTCCCGAGGACTGGAAGGTAGCTAATGTCACTCCCATCTTTAAAAAGGGTTCCAGAGGATATCCGGGAAATTACAGGCCAGTCAGTCTGACGTCGATACCGGGTAAATTGGTGGAAACCATTATTAAGGAAAGAATTTAGTAGGCACATAGATGAACAAAACCTATTGTGACAGACTCAGCATGGGTTCTGTAAGGGAAGATCTTACTAAC